ATTCCCAATAGTTACCTTAAACAAATTGGTGGTTTTCGGAAAATTTATTCAAATTTTGACAGTGAAAGAATTCCGACTAACCTTCCTATTTTTTATAAAAGTATTCTTACCTCTTGGGCTAGAATTACTTATACAGACTTAATCCAGGCTCTGCCAAATGTTAACGAGCAATGTATTTGGAATAATAGGCACATCAGAATAAACAATGAATCAATATATATCAAAATATTTTCAAGGAAACAAATAAACTATATAAAAGATCTTTGCGACGATAATGGTAACATGACCTGGGAGCATGCTAGATCCTTTGGTTTGAATGACGATGACAAGTTTAAATGGTTTCAGTTGGTTCATTCGATTCCAAAAGAGTGGAAAAATGAAATGAAAATTATAAAGAATAAAAAACGGGGAGGTATCCAAAGATCACTACAATTAAAGGGCAGTAAAATAYGTTTTGAAAAAAWTTCRATAAAAAACTTATATTTCCATCTTATTGACAAGGTTTTCGTACCACCGTCAGCACAGAGTAACTTGAGTAAAAAATTTGATCATGAAATTGTTTGGGAAAATGTGTATAAAAGAATATATAAAACAACAATAGACTCCTATCTTCGTTACTTTCAATACAAAATTGTAAATAATATATTATATCTTAATCGAGATCTCTATCGTTTTCATAAAACTGAATCACCTTCATGTTCCTATTGTTTGTATCAACTCGAAACAGTTGAGCATTTATTTGTTGAATGTTTAATCTCAAAAAATTTGTATTTCGATATTCAATCCTGGCTTAAGCAGTATGGCGTACTCTTACCTAGTTTATCAAAAAAGGACGTTTTATTAGGGGTTGATGACGTCAYAGTCAATATGATCCTCATTATATTTAAAATGACGTTATATAAATTCAGAGATAAAGGAAACCCTCCAATTCTAGCTTTGTTTAAGAACCTATTAATMTATTACGAGAATATTGAAAAGCGAATAGCAAAATCTAATAAYAAACTTGAAGATCACAAGAGAAAATGGCATAATGTTAACAATGCTCTTTCTCTAACGAGACGAATATCTTTATAGTCTATCATCTTTTTTTTTGTATATTCTGTAWATTTAATTATTCATTGTAATCTCATTATCTACTTGTTTTGTTTTGTTTTTTCGGCTCATGGCTATCGAAATTCTTTATTCTAAATTTAGTCAGTTAATATTGTATAACTTTGGTCAACTATGATAATTATAAAAAAAAAAGATTAATTATATAAGAAAACATATCATCTCGAGAGACACAGCCTAATGCGTGTCTTTCCATAAGTTGTAAATAGAAATACAAATATATCTTGAGAGATTGAAATAAATATGTCAAAATACAAAAAAAAAAAGTTTTATTTTTAAGCACAATGCAATTTAAACGCTTAACATCTTGCTATTTTGTCGCGACGGTTTGATATTATATTTACAATAAAGTATTATTCATGATTATTGAGAATCATCTTGCAATGTGTTTTGATTTTTTTTATTCACATAATTTACCAATATAACAAAGCACTTAATGCGGGAAACGGTTAGTTTTTGTTTCGTACCTCGGGAAACATTCAGATTCTCGGGAAACAAAACTAACCGTTTCCCTTGGGAACAGTCATTAAGTGTATATTGTTTTTGATTATATGCTGTAAATAAAGCTCTCTCGGAAGAGCGAAGACTTTATTGGTCATTTCTTATCTTTGAGCACTTCCCTCCAAATGGAGTACTTTCTTGATCAAATTCCGAGCAGCATTTCGAAGTTCTTCAATTCTCCAAAAATATATGAGCGGATTTATCACACTATTTGTATAAAAAATAGTTTTTGTACTCTTGTAAAAAACGTCAATCGTCTTTTCTTGGAAGAAAGACCGTGTAAAACACACGAAAAACGGAAAGCAGCATAACACAAGTGCACCGGTCATGTAGTACATCACATTTACCGTTTTTTTGATTCTTGGAATGTTCGCGTTATGCTGTTGTGATTGCAAATGTACCTGAAGTTGGACCTGGATCTCCCTTGAGTGTCTGTTGATCGTCCTTTGTATCACAACCATAAAATAGAGATCAAATAAAAACAGAAGCAGAGCGAAAAAAATAAAAAATGTTTGTCCATAACTAGATAACATTTGACAAATACAACTTCCTATCGCATAAATACATATTATTGCATAAACCAGAACAACTCGTCGACACGTTACGACTTCAAGATAGCGTAAGTGGTAGTGTATTGCTATAAACCGATCTGCGGTAAGAGTTATTAGCGTGATAACTGAAACAGTTCCAAAAACCCATGTCACATTCACATACAAAGACAGCCAGATACTCATCTTGCTGGAATCGTCTTCAAGTTCGTAAAACATCATGATACAGAAAGATGGTTGAACCATAACACCAACTCCAAGATCAGCTAAGGCAAGACCAAGGATAAAGAAATTAGAAGGCCTCTGAAGGTTTGGCGTCCTTAGTATAGTATAAATAACCATAGCATTACTGGTTGTTGTCAAGATAGAACTTAGTGCATTGAAGGCGATTAGCGTTATATTCAATCCCATGAGGTTGTTATAGTTTGATGGTTCTTGTGTTGATGAACAGTTGATGGTTTGGTTTTCATTTTCTATCCTGCAGGACATCTTGTTCTTACACTTCTTCGCTATCAACAGAACTTGTGATGAGCAAGATAAGTCCAAAATAAGCACCTGTCAACCTTTATATCACTCATAAACTATACTAAAGGTTTATATGAAGATTACTTCATTTACAATGCTGACGGACACTTTTGGTTAACTTCACGTGTAGGTGTCGAGAGAGTTTTTTTTAGTTGGGAAGGTGTCGAATTCGTATCCGTACTGGATAAGATTTTCTGTTAGAATTAACAAGGAAACCTCGTAATTTAGTTATTAATTTCTTCGACCACATACTGTTTGAATAACAGAATGTCATTAATTTATATACAAACTGAACCATGAAATTCTAGCAATGGCAAAAACAAAACAGCTGCTTGTTTGGCCTTTTGCTCTGCATTTCGATCTGACCTACTGTCAAGAAAAATTGGATCATTTTAGCGAATTATTTATACTGAAGGGCGGATTTCTAGAATTAGGAAAAAATCAACTGATCTTTTTTTGTGTTATCATGATATTGACATTATTCCTTGACTCGTTCTGAAGAACCTAGTATATGTACGACAGTATGCACCTGTCAAACGTCGTTCGATATCGGAAAGTCAAGGCTAATGTCAAGTTTGATTAGAGAAATTCAGAGCACGCACCATTGAAAATCCTGATTAAAATTATGTCGAAATCTCGCTATCTATATAAATTTTAGAACTATCATTTCTTCCTGGGAATTTTAAAATATTTTTTTTTGCAAATAAATTTGTTTGTTATTTTTATGTCTTTACAAGTAAATGCGATTATTGGAATTATTGTGATATCGGTACTCTTTGAAGATCTTACTTGCATCTTAGTCTTCGTTTTAATAAACTGGGGCACTGCTAATCGAAGCAGGAGGACGATTCAACTTTATTCATGAAATGTTCTAAGAAGTCGGTAAGACCGGTAATCTAAGCCGCTGTCACGCGAAAACTTCGTGAATTACGCTAATAACTCCAAGAGTAGTGGTGACAAACCCAACAATCAAGTAATCATTAATTGGGAGGCTTTGTGGAGATGGTGTCCTTAGATCTCAATATGAGCGATTTTATAAAAATTTGTAAGCTTTTTAAGTTAGGGAATGATTGATGTTTGGAATGACGCCCGTTGAAAACAGGTTTGAACAGGTAGTAAAATACAGCTTTTTTATTTGTTTAAGGTTATTGTTTTATTGAAACATACTTGGTATAGAGGATATTATATGGGTGCGCGGAGTTGGTGATTTTATCTTTAAGTGTTGAAAAAGATCTCTCACAAGTTATCAGCTATCTGCTAATGTGGAGCTTCGGCAACCAGTTGAAAAAATCTCCTCATTAATTGTCGACCTGCAATTCTTAATTCGTTAATTCTCCAAAAGTAAATTATTGGGTTTAGCAAGCTATTTGCAAACATTAGTGTTTCGAAGATTTTGAAAAGTATGATTGGTGGAGATATTGACGACTGAAGCAACCAATAGAACACAAAAAATGGAAAATAGCAGAGCACAATTGCTCCAGCAATATAATACATCATATACATAGTCCTCTTCGTACGTGCAATGTTCATATTCTGTTGTTGATTTTGTTTTCTAAAATATTTAGGATACTACGCGCGCTGTGATTGGTCGAAAACCATGTTTGATTACAGTATCAAAACACGCTCGCGCACGTCAAAAATTTATTTTATTCTTTTAATTTTAGAAAAGAAATAAAAGACGAAATTCCGTGTTTGATACTCTGATCAAAACACTTGGGATGTAGGGAGAGCACTCGAAAAGCTGGAAACCACTCCGCTACGCGTCGTGGTTTCCTACGCTTCTCTCGTGCTCTCCCTACATCCCGCGTGTTTTGATCAGAGTATCAAACACGGAATTTCGTCTTTTATTCCTTAAATAAAANTTTTAGACATGGTCTTCCACAGGAAGCCCATGTAAAAAGAAATAAAAGACGAAATTCCGTGTTTGATACTCTGATCAAAACACTTGGGATGTAGGGAGAGCACTCGAAAAGCTGGAAACCACTCCGCTACGCGTCGTGGTTTCCTACGCTTCTCTCGTGCTCTCCCTACATCCCGCGTGTTTTGATCAGAGTATCAAACACGGAATTTCGTCTTTTATTCCTTAAGTCGTATTTGTCTTGAATGCCTACGAATCACTAGCTCTATTTTGGCCATGAAGAGGATAGTTATTAGAATTATTAAACCGGTTAAGTTAGTAGAAATGAGGAAGGGGATTATTGACGATAACCAACTAAGACTACTTAGTATGGCAAAAATCCATATTATCGTGCAGATTACGCCAGTCCGGACAACAGTTACAATTTCCCTATAACGTAGATGCAAGGTTATAGCTATTAAGCGGTCTGCAGTTAGAGCTGCTAAAGTCCAAATCGACGCAGTAATAAAAATTGATCCAGTTATCGTATATACATCTTTAGATGAAATCAAGCATTGGTAGTTTCTGGCAAGTGTGCAGGCTATTGTCACGCAAAAGCATGGTGCAACCAAAGCACCGACTCCAAGATCTGCGAGAGCCAAAACAAGAATCAAGTAATTTGATGGCTTTTTTAGAGAAGGCGTCCTTAGAATAGTGAAAATTACGGCAGCATTGCTGCAGATCACGCTAATGGAAAGTGCTGCATTAATAATGATTAATGCTATACACCCTTTTATAAGCAAAGGGATGTCAATGTTTGTTGGATAACTCCATGAATGCAGATCAGAACAGTTAGTGTTGATATTCTCTCTTTGGAGATAACACTTCATCTCGAAGAAGTCAGAATAACAATTCCATATCAGGAATGATATTGACTATATAAGACTAATTTGTGAATCATGTGATCTTTTTCAATCTGATTTTAATATCACGGACTCTACGGGATGTTTACTGTTCCTACTGATTTCATTATATGCAACTTCATCTTGTTGAATCATATTTGATTATGTCGTTGCACTGCTTGATGAAGATTCTAGATTGCAATTACTCCAAATTTTATTAAAATACCGATATTTATAATTTGATCTTTGGGTACTTGGTATTCAAAGCCCTTTGTCAAACGTGTCAATCAGATAGTTATACATTGTAAAACCCTACATGCACAAGGCCGTTCCCGTTCTGAACCGTTCAGTATTTTTGTCAATTTAGGCCCGGTCCATACGTCGAGCCAGCGTCGCTCCGAACCAAATAGTTTGAATTTGGCATATGAACATTTTGTATAAGAGTTTAAACTCAAAGTACCAATCTTTCACGCAACAAACTCACCAGGAAAACTAGTTTGTTTTATATAAAAACCTCTCCAATTCCTAAAGTCTGCACAATTATAGTGGTTACACGATTTTTTAAATCAAAATACTTGCACGCGCTCAAACCGAACGCGCGCGCTTATTAAAATCATAAAATTACAATCAATAGTTCAATTCTAGCTCTTGGTATACAATGCCATTATTCCATTCATTGTTGTTGATGGCCTTCTTTCCCTCTCTTCTGATTCGTACCGCTTCCGTTAATATCTGCCTCAGCATAGGGTCTAGATAGTGTTTCAATATTAACTGTAAAGCGGACTATTGATATTTAGTATTACCATACTAGTGGACTATTGCAATTTCTTCGTTCTGATTGGCTACACTACTCGGGGTTTATTTTCAATAGTCCTCAACTAGCGAAAAGTGACAACTTTTTGCGTATTTTTAGGAATAAAAACATTTAGTTATTTATATATTTCATTCATTTTTTGTCCAACTAGTATGGTAATACTAAAACATTGGCTATAAGTTCGTACTCCTCTCGCCCTCGAGATCTAATTGTTAAAGAACCGACATTTCTAGGTGCAGTGCTCTAGAGACAGAGCTATGAAGCCAACTATGTTGGCGAGCGGTCATTTCATTGGCTGAACCCATCCATACTAAGGATTCCCGTTGAGGACCGAAATGTTTTTGAGCGATCCATTTATTAATAATCACTTACATTATTATATTTCACTGCGAAAATCATAATTCCTCACACATTTATTCACCGCAGCTCGAACCATTATTTCATCATATCTAGACAAGTCTCAAATGCCAAGGGACAATTTCTTCCTGATATGATCGATCATATATTGTTCGTGTTTGCTAACGTTTCAAGTGCTCATTGAAATGGCGGACTAAATGATCTTTGAATACACTCTGGCACTTGCCGAGTTGTCGGTACAGTTTTTGTTAGAAGTGACTTTGATAAATTATACTGATTAGAATAGATAAAGTATTCAGGTGTCATAAATAGCCCTGAAGATAGATTTATAAGATAGATTTAAGTTAGATTTATTTATTTGCTCTATCACGTTTTATTGTCCAGCTTATGTAATAAACCGCTTTATTTTTTATATACTGTAAATGAAAAAAGTTCTGGTCGCTAAAATATATCAATACGCATCTACGCATCTGCAAAACAACATCGATAACAGAATATATAACTACACTACAGCAAGATATGTAGCTCATATTGCTAGACGATCCAATCTGGATAAATCAAAACAGCTCCTATTCAATGTGGATAGAAGTACGAAAAAAGGAAGACCAACTGAAACTCTTGAACAGAAAGTCCTTAAAGAACTTAACATGACAGCAGACGAGTTCTACAAACAAGCACTGAAAGGAACTTTGTAGATGAGATCCTAAGCTAAGGATCACTCTAAGTCTACCAGAGTAGACACGAGCTAAACAATATATATAATATATCAATATATAGGGTTGTTGATATTTCAAATATAAACCTTTAATTTGTCATAAAACTGCAGATTATGCTTGGGTGTACTTTAATAAACATAATTTTGTAGTATATGAATGATTTACGATCTGTTTTAGAAAGAAAAGAGCGAGAATCACTTTCGATATCCCATGATGCACCCGATAATGACATATGTTAACGGTCTGCCGCAGGGGTCTTGGTGGATACTCATGATAGACTAGGTTGTTCCACGCTTTCTTATTTATGGGTTTTGCGCCGCTGCTCTCGGAAACGAATTTAAACGCTTTTTCATACATCTGTTCGTATAAAAGTGGATCAGTTGATTTGATGATGTTGCAGGAAGTGTCAGTTGAGCTGTGCTTTGAATATAATGGATTACTTCTATCAAGTGCCAACTCAAGTGTAGTTCTTAGAAAGCGATGACACTTACAGTACTTGATACCTACTCATGTACTTGATCGATCGATATCCGTTTTAGTGGCCTCCTTTTAATACTATATTCCAGCCCTCAGGTCGAAAGAATAGTCTCCTTCACGGATACCTGCGCCATCTTGAAAGGTAGCCGTGCCTTTGCATCGAAGCGAGACGACCGTTGAGCGTGCAATGATAGATACCTGTGAATAATTGTCTATAGGTGTGAAAGAAGGTTTCTATCATTGCACGCTCAACGGTTGTCTCGCTTCGATGACAAGGCACGGCTACCTTTCAAGATGGCGCAGGTAACCGTGAAGGAGACTATTATCATTGACAATTCATCCTAGCTAATTTAAACATCAGTGTGGGTATTTTCGAGTTGGACAATGCCGTTATTACTGAATATAGTCCATGGTTCCCTCTGAAATCTTGAAAGATGCACGTACCTTTGCATTGAAGGGATACGACCGGTGAGCTTGCAACAATGATTGAGGGTCGAACACTACCGTCAGAACGAAGCTTGTGATTGATCAAGACAACAAAAACAAAGAATGTTGCGATCATGTGGGACAATGCCTATTGTTCTACTGGACATCTTTTTTGTACCACATGTCTTTCTTTGTTAATTCATCAAATCAGAATCTTTGTTCTATAACAGTGGTGTAAAACTCGTGAATGAGAAGGTTTCTATCATTGCTGGCTCGATTGTCGTCTCGCTTCGATGTAAAGGCATGGCTACCTTTCATGATGGTTTAACGAACCCTGAAGGTGACTATATTGAATGCAATAGATTGTACATATATACATTTTTCAAGAACGCTCAATTAAGTCCTATGGTCTTCCTTAATATGTTGTATGAAGCAGCTCGAAGCTCAGTGATTCTCCAGTAATATATCATTGGATTAATTAGACTGTTTAGAAGTCCAGTTATATCTGTTACTTTGAGCGATATCATAATATTTGTTGAATTTCCCATAAAGCCCTGTATAAATGTTGTTGCATAGAATGGGAAATAGCAGAGTATAAATGCACCAAACATATAGTACATTGGATTGACAGATTTCTTCATTTGAGCGACACTCAAAGTGCCTGGGGCACTTTGATGTTGAGCTTGAATCATTAGAGAATGTCGGCGAACACATCTGAATATTTTGATGATGAAATACATTTCAAGTAAATTGGTCAACAGGAACAGGATTGAGTTGACAACTAGAAAATTAGAATTAAAGAATGCCAAAATGGATGCCGCAAAGCTGTAGGCCCAGACGAGTAGAAGGACCAGTCCAACACGTCGTGTCGTAACTAGCTGCTGGTATCTTAGATGGTAATGAACAACCATGAAGCGATCTGTTATTAACGCAGCTAGTGTTAGCTGTGAGGCACAAGCAAGAATCCAAGCAATATGATGAAGCAGTCTGTACACTACACAATAGTCGTCAAATTGGTCCTTTAGCTCATAAACCATAACCAAGTTATTCACGTAAATATATATCAAATGCTTTAGATATTCGTAAGCTTTTAGAAAACCAAGATCGTAGCATATTTTCCAACATTTCAYCAGATCAGCATCATCCACTAAGGCACTTATTGCCAGTTAGTAAACAAACAACTTATAACTTAAGAAGAGAGTCATGCATCATGCCTAGAGTTAATACCAACAGATATTTGAATGTTTTTTCTAACCGTCTCATTTTCAAATATAATTAGATATGTATAAGATTTATTAATATTATATTTTATTGTAACTTAAGATATGTGATTTTATCTTTTGAACTGAATAAAGACTTATTGTATTGTATTGTATTGTATTGCTTTTACTGAATGCACTCTTACTGTTGCTTTCAACGAAGACAACGAAGAAATAAGATAATCAACTCACAGTCACAGTAACTATAAAGAAAAGTTTGTTGTATTAATTTTTAAAACACTAATAAATTGTGTCAGTATATGTGTGGTTTGTTTATCCCGTAATTTAGCTTTTAACCAACATTATGATAACCTACAGTTATGTAAAAAGATAAATTTAACACCGTAAAAAAGTATGAGAAATAACTTACTGACGTTTCGGACGTTAATCCTTCGTCGGAGTAACCTACTTGATAACCTACTTGATCATGTCTGGCTAAACAGGTTGTTATGTAAAGGGGTATTAAAATTGCACATTTCTGCCAAGAGGTTCTTATTCTACTAGGTTCTTAACTGTGGGTGTTTACTGTGTCAATAGATCTTCAATGATTGTTTCGAGTATCGCTTTAGTAAGAAATTATGGCATGCCTCGGGGGCAATAACGCAAAATCGCTTTCCACTTTACGTTTTTTGATTTCTTCCAGAGTAGAGTCTTTGCCGCCAAGTCAAGCAATGATGCAGTCTTATACCCTGGGAACCAGAGGCTGGATTTACTCGTTCTTGTAGTTTATATACGGCGCGAAGCGCCGTCCTTGAGGCCGAAGGCCGAACCGTAAACCAGCCTCTGGCGGCACGGATAGCGAATCTCACTTCCATGTCAGTGTTTACATTCAAGATCTGAATGTTGCAGCTGATTGGTCCGTTGATATCGGAGCGATATTATTGGCTGAAAAACAAAACCGGTTTTCTATCAGACACTCGACGAGTGATGAGTTGTCAAAATCAAATGTATATGTCATGGGTCACTGATCTCTGTCGTGTATCAGAATTCTCACAGAATGTAAACTAAGCAAAATCCCCAGAAGATGCCGTTAAAGCAAGACTTTGCGAATCTGCAAAGTGTATAGCTGCAGTCTCTCGAATAAGACAGGAGATTTCAAATTATCTGGAGAAAAGACAAGTTAAAAATATCGTTTTTGCGAAATTATTTGCTTTTMAATTTATAGCGAACAGCTACATATGTCTCACCTTCACTCGGAAGTTTAAAAAAACTTCGAAAATCTAAAACTCTTAGGACAATGATTTGAAAGAACTTTGTTGCGTTGAATGCTCACTCGTCTAGTATCCGGTGAAAAACCGGTTTTACTTTTCAGCCAATAACATCACTCCGATATCAACGGACCAATCAGCTGCAACATTCAGATCTTGAATGTAAACACTGACATGGAAGTGAGATTGGCTATCCGTGCCACCAGAGGCTGGTTTACGGTTCGGCCTTCGGCCTCAAGGACGGCGCTTCGCGCCGTATATAAACTACAAGAATGAGTAAATCCAGCCTCTGGTTCCCAGGGTAGCAGTCTTAGGGCCTTCTGTAGCATTAATGAATTAAAACATGCACTTGTAAATGTTTTTTTTTTGCGAATTTGAGACCGAGTGCTGTCTAACCTAGCAGTCATTATTGAAATAAACATTTCCAAGGTATTTGTATTGACAATTCTTTGATTGACATAACTTATTTGGAAGTCAAACAATCTATGGCATTCTTAAGAATACTTTAAAATCTACAAATTTATTACCTTAAACGTCGTTAACGTCGTTCACTTGCGAAGGCATATGGATGACAACAAAAGCTTTTGCATAAAGATGTTTTTACATATCGCAAGACGAATTAGTTAGATAGTGCCATAAATGTTATTGGCATTGGCATGTTACACGCAAACTGCATTGTTGTTGTATTTATGTTCTTATAATTGAACAACGTTGTTGAAGTGCCTAAGACGCCTGACAATAACTTCGGATTCTCTGTGAACTGATTCTATGAGCTTCTATGCAAACTAAATAATCGGGTGGTGAAATATTTTTTCATTTCAGTCTTGAGTCTTTGAGTTATGAAGGCGGTTTAATCTTATAATATGCTCATGATTATGACGTCATGGACGCCATTTGGGAATACATTGTCATCGGTACGTTTAATATCATGAAGCCATTTTAAAGTGATCACTTCTAAGATCGTATATCTAATAAACCCTTCCTTGACGTCATTGTCATTAGCATTTTGTAAGATTGAACCTTCATAACTCAAAGACGAAACACTGAAATGATGGAATATTGCACAGTTAAATCATTTACATCACCATAGAGAGTCAGCAATTATTGTGCCAGGCGTCAAAAGCACTTTAATGGATCGATTGTAAATTCTGGTACAAAAAATACTTTCCCTGGCAAGGTTGTAAATTTGATATAAATATGATCTAAGTGTCCAAAATTCTGTAAATTTGATGTGAATGATTTGCAACAAATTTACAGCGAGTTTTGGACACTTACACAATATTTACATCAAATTTACAACCTTTTAAGCGCGCGATTTTTCCAGTGTTTGCGTGCTTCAGAAATTAAATTATCGCTTAAAAACATCCAAATTAATATGTTTTTCATGTTTTAAGATATAATATTCAATCTCATATCGTTCTAAAAGCTCTATAATGTATGAATTTTTCGAAAAACCGCGCCAACCCGAAGATCGCTTTGAATGAAATGAATCGATGCAGATTACCTGGTATTGAAGTTTGTATAATCATGAATACATTTTATGTAATAGGATTGAATTTTAATTCATCGTCTTAAGCGTATTTTGAATCATTTGTTTGCATTTTGAAACATGTTATTTTCAGATCGCGTTACTCATTGGTGTCAGAAGCGAAGTCGTGCTTATTTTTTTATTTATTTATTTTTTTAAATTTTGTGTCCCAGAATTCCTTTTTCTCAAAATAAAAATAAAACCATAACGAAATCAGAAAGCATCATAAAGTGTGGGATCAATTAAGATCAATTTAATGTATAGGGCTTATTTCCTTTGTCGGTGCAATGTTTTTCAACAAACCTGTATTACAGCTCAAAACGTTAGTTTGCTCCAATCTCATTGCCATGATATAAACATTTCCTTTTTATTGTATGTATCTATTTTATTACTGATATCTTTCACTATTAGCCCGGTATCCGCAAGGACAGGTTTCTCAAATATCTTTTAAATCGAAGCGAGTGCAGACAAGTTAATTTGTTTATTGGACTATTTCTACTATTGTTTCCAAATAAGAACCTTGCGGTTTCTTTTAACCAGTTTAGCGTTTAGATGGCACATTCTATTTTACGTGTTAAGTTTTACGTGATAATCTAGGAAAAGGAATAAAAAAAGAAAAAACCCGTTTTTTTTTACAATATTCCAGTGCTGTAAATTAAATTCTACCCATGTACATCGTGTTTTTTTCTGTTATTAGTTTTACCACATAAATGTGCTTTTGATTGTAGTACATGATTTGATTGAATTCTAAAAGACATGTTACTAACTGCATATTAGCTGTCGGGTAGCGTTTCTAAGTTCTTCTATTCGCCAATAATATATCATTGGATTGACTAAACTATTTAGTAGTACAAGGCTCTCAGTTATTCTGTATGCAAGGACTATATCAGAAGTCTCTTTGCCTTTGATTGCAATAGCACCAGCGCAACAGATATATGGTAAATAGAAAGACGCAAAGGCAGCGACCACCAAATATGTGACTTTTACAGATTTCTTCATTCGTGGCATGTTTAGCTGAGCTGTTTGTTGTAGAGCCTCAATCTCTGCAGAGTGTCGTCGAACTGTTAGGTGTATTTTTAGAAGGAAATTCACGTTCATTATAGCAACAGGAACAAGAACAATTACATGGAGAATTAGAATGCCTTTGCCTATTATGATTTTCAGCGAACCAGACAGCAAGCCATACAACCATATAATAACAAGAACAATACCAACTCGTCGGTTGGTGACAAATTCCTGATATCGCAGGTGAAAGTGAATTGCTAAGAAACGATCTGCTGTTAAAGCTGTCAGAGTTAATAGTGACACTGACGCAAGAGTCCATCCAACGAATTCGAACACTTTAACAGCATTACAGAAGTAGACAGAGTTGTTCTTAATTGCACTTGCTTGAATTGTTATTAAAGCCGGCTGTGCTATAGTACCAACAGCAAAATCTGACATAGCTAATCCCAGAATGAAAACGTTCGATGGAGAATGTAGTGCTGGAGTTCGTACGATGGTGTACATCGCCGTGAAGTTGCTTAATATCACAAAAACACTTGCCAAGGCATTGACAACGATTAACACAACTGCTACTGTCCCATTGAAAGAGTCTTGTCCCTCTGTTGAGTTTTTTAACGCTTGATAAAAGGTGCAGCCTATATGAACCATCACTGATATTTTCCGCAATTAAACGGTAAAGCACTTTAAGATGTCTTAGAAAATGACAGGTTATAGGCATTAAAAAAATCCCATTATTACTATTTGGACTATTCCAGTACTAGATCAATATTGTCATGCAAGAACAGGTGGTAGCAGCTACGTACAGAAGTATTGTAGTGTAAGGTAGTAATTGAGGCTTACTTCACTCAGCGACGAGTTTTACCATATATTTATGCCGACATTTTTTCTTATGTCAATTAACGCTTCTGTACTAAAACGATGCAAATTCCATCAACTACATAGACATTTCCAGTCGGTCTTTATGTAATTGTTTACAAACATATAGCATCTATTATTACGTTGTTTTAATTATCATTTGAAATTAATGTCAATAAAAGTGAGAATTCATTCTGCTATTACCAGCTGTTTCATTCACGGTGCTTATAAATAACGTCTATTCAAAAACTAGATATAGTTATTATAATCTGTGATGTTTGAAAGATCTAAAATTGATATTTGAAAAACTAGCTAGCAAAAGCCGGCCTCATGCGCCAACTTTTCGGCATTAATGAATCATTAAATCATTGCTAATATGAATTTGTGTCCGATAATCTTTTTATCTAATAAGTGTTATTGTCTTAATGAAACTTAACTTCATCAGATCGACTCTCTTTTATTTTTAGAAATGAATATGGAAATAGGACTTAATTTTCAAAAACGCATTAATTATTCATGAGGTATTCAGCCAATCCCTGATTGTAATTTGTAACACGTGAAGTAACTTGAAACCAGAGGAAGTACTCGTACCTTGTMTTCTACCTTATTTCCAGTTACTTCTACCTTTTTCAAGTTACTTCTACATTATTTCCAGTTATTTCTACCTTATTTCCAGTTACTTCTACCATGTTTCCAACTACTACTAGCTAATGATAATCAAATTATTAGAAATAATCAGTTTAACATTAATTTAGTGAAAAAAGGTCTTTGATACATGACTCCCTCACGACTCAATCCCCTACCGTCCAGTCTATATGCGCCGTCTTTTACCATTACACCACCGAGTTTCTGATGCGATTCCTCGGAAGATAACATACCTATAAATCTTATGGATTAGGCTCATTAGGAATGTCATGAATAGCAGACAAAGACAATTTGAATAGCTTTTGTTTCAGAAAGCCGTCCGGGAATTGAAGAACAACAAACGGTGCTTCATGTATTCAAAATTATGAAAACTGAAAACCTTAGTGGAGATGCAATAAATCAATATATTTCTGTTATATGTATTTCCTTCGCTTTTTTTCCCTCCCGAATAATTAATGAGTTTTTGAAGTCGTTCAAAGGCCTCCAATTCGGACTCGGCTAGCGCCTCGGACTGGAACTAATTGCGCGGACTTTGAAACCCCGTCAAGTCTTCATTGTCGGCCTTTAAACATTACTTCTAAAATAGCATGTTTTATCACATTTTAAAGATCCTTTTGTCCTTTTTTGGCTTTAAAAGACCAAATATATTGTTTGTTTGTATTTGTTTGTTTGTATGTATTTTTATGTCAAAGCTACAGCATAATGAAATGTATTCGAATAGTTTAACTTGATCCATCCGTTAATCGAATTGCTGTGACGCACTAGAAAATGTTGTAATTACAATAGTCCTAACTATTTGCATTTTCCCCGAGTCGAGTCGAGTCGAGTCGAGTCGAGTTAAACTTTAGGCCTTCCGGGAATACAAAAATGCAAATTTTCAAGTTTATTCTAATTTGTGTTTGGTGAGGTCTTTCCGCAAGGGGGAATCTGCTGTCATAAAAAACAGCAGTTATTCGCTTTGAATTCGTAAATGGAGTATTATGTCTACTAAATAAGTCTCCCGCTAAAAATGCTTCTCTATCTCGGTGTTGATTTTAGGTTTGATATAATATGTCTTATAAGTTATGGTCGTTGCAGCTAGGATTCATAGTTAATATAAATATCTAGTTGTCTCTAGCTTAATTTTTTAATAACAGACGTTTCGAAAGGTCTGTCATATGTATTCAAAATATAAGCAAGAGACAATTAGATATTTATATTAATGTCTTCTAAGTAAGTGGTTGGTTTCTTTCTCCTTGGGTCGCAGAGGGAATAGTATATATTTTTAACCTTGTCAACTAAGTTCCTGTCCATCATTTCTATATGATGTCGAATGTTTTAACAGAAATTCTTGGATAGATCGCTTATGAAGAAATTTTATCCAAGAATTTCTGTATACTTTAGCTCGGGTTCAGTTGAACTATGCACCGGCATCACACCAACTCAACGTGATAACCAGCTTAACTTTCAGTAATCTAGCAATTATTTATCTTTTTGAAATATTAGATTTAACATAACGTATTTTCAACGGACAATACGGCAGTCAAAGAACGGGCAGGATAAGAATACTCCAGTTTCGAATTCATGTCGAAAAAACGCTGCCTTATTTGACAACAGATTCTCTTGACCAAACAAAGCACGAGAAAATTTCGTTTTTACAATATCCTTGAAAATTTACATTTCCCCGAGTTATTTCACCCTGTATTCCGATGAGACCTAAGGTATGAGACTTCTGGGAATACAGGGTTAGCCTTGCTTTCTTTTGCGTTTGGTGAGATCTTTTTGTAAGAGAATCTGCTGTCAAATAAAATAGCGGTTAGTCGCTAAGAATTCGAAAATGGAGTATACTTAAACCTGTTTTTCATGCGGCAAATTGTGAAGTTGACAGATTATAGAGGTCCGTCCTACGGAGTAACGAAATCTCCCGTTTGGGATTTTGCGTTGTATGTCCTCTTATTGATACACATTTCCAGTCCTTAGAGACCAAAAAGACGGCTAAAGTGATCATTACCTTTGATTTAGACTTCAATTTCCCCGCCTTGCCGTTAATTGTCCTATTGAAACAGCGTTAATTCCCCGGCTCTCTCCGAGGGTTTGGGAACCAGCGTTTCAATTGAATGTTGCATTATTGACCATGATAACAGTTACTGCTCCCCTTCGTAGGGCGCCAATGTAAAAAGAATCATATCTTGGCTTCATTAAATAATATCTAAAAATATTATACGTCATTTGAAGCTTACACAATAATCTAAATGTACATGACATTTATTTGTAATAATATTTAATTAATATTTAATAAAGAGTTTATTACAAATTAATAATCAAAAATCGAGTCCAAATTTTTCAACAAAATTTTCAACGATGTATTGGTCAATATAAGGAAATTTTATATTTAACGCCATAACTTCAAAACGAAAATCTAAATCCAAAAACAGCGACATGATTTTTTGCCTCACTATGATCCAAACATTATTCATTGAAAAAAGCGATGTTGTAATGCAAACGTTTTGCGCAGCAGCTTCTCAAAGCCCAAAACGCGACTTTAGCTTTATAATTTTTAAATTTTCAACTTTATAATTTCTATTCTTCAGTCATAATATATAATGTGTTATGGTTCTTACCATAAAAGACGCTAAATAATTTTTTAAACTTGATAATTTTGAAAAATTCCAGCCAAAAAAGTGGATCTGTAAGTTTAATTAACCAAGCGGGTTAACAACCGAGCGGGTATTCACACAAGTGTGATAACAGGTATTTTTTAATATATTGCGTAAAGACTGTGCATAAAGTGCTTCACGTATCTCTTTAGTGCACTCTACTTGAGATTTAAACAGGAAACTTTTTAACTGGTACTTACCACGATCTAACGTTTGTACCTAACAGAGAGAGATACTCCAGAGATACTCCAGATGAAAAACATTCGCAAATTGCATCCGATACTTGAGTTGCGCTCACCTTTACTCACTTTCTAGTGTGTTTTTTTTTATATAAAAAAAATTAATCATTTATTAAGATCATTTTTTCCTTTCATGAAACCGACGATGCTTTGATATGCATGGGATATTTCAGGAATATTTCACAAAAGAGTCTTTCGTGCATTCTCCTTCAAATTCTCAAAAGCTCTTTTTGTAGTCCATTAAACGACTTCTTGACTTACACTTATCTCTCTTTGCTACCCGTGATTTACAATTTAATATATATGACATTTATATCTAGCTGTAAATATCGTTTCTTCTTCAATTCGACGGTGATTTAAAGAGTTTTGTGCGCGACCTGTTCAAAAGAGACTATGGGTAAACTAGCAATCACCTCAATACAATATAGATTGCATCTTCATGATTTGTGTAGAGACTAGAATGGTCGCTATGAATCATATTGTGTCAAGGTTTCCCTTTGATGATCAAAATCGTCGAAAGACTCTTATCGAGAGGGTCGTTTTAAGTCTAGTGGGTATAATAGAAGATATAATTTACGCAAATGTGTTCATAAGCCAACGCGTGGTAACAATATTCTTGACCAAGTTTTAACAAATATGGCTGAGTGTTTCGGGGAGGCTATCCACCTGCCCAACCTCGGTAGATCCGACCATCAATGTGTGCTACTTAAACCAAGCATCAAGGCCAAGCTCAAACCAATATCAAGAAGGATCCGAGTATTGAAACCAGGAAATGTCAACGCCCTTGGCATTAAACTTAACCTGCAAGACTGGGAAGCTGTGTATTCATCTGTGGATGTGGACGATAAGGTTGAAGCCTTCAATACAATCATCTCTAGTTCTATGAATGAAACCATTCCTTTAAGAACTGTTAGAATGCATCCTTCTGATAAACCATGGATCACCCCACACATCAAAACCACCATACGTGAAAGACAAAAAGCTTTCTCCCAAGATGACCGAAGCAAATATGAACATTTGAAAGCGAAGGTTACACGCCTGATTAGTAATGCCAAGTCTATCTTCTATAATAATGAAGCGCAAAACTTACGTCATTCAAATCCCGGAAAATGGTTCAAGACAATCTATGCTCTCGCGGGAGCCCAACAGTGCTCTAATACCCCAACTGCTCCAACCAAAGAACAGTTAGCGCAGTTGGCCGACCACCTACTCGATGCTTTCACTGAACCTTGGAATGACCGTGAGCCTACTGCTTTGTTGGTTAATGATCTCGCTGACAAGCTCGAAGATCGTCCTTCTTCTATGCCTAATATTGGTCAAGTTAAGAATGGTCTTAAAACAATTAACCCAAAGAAAGCCACTGGAGCTGATGGAGTACCGGCCTGGATTCTTAAGCGCTTCCATGAAGAACTAGCTGGTGCTATTCACGATATCATATGTGCCAGTATTCAACAATGCAAATACCCTTCATTGTACAAGCACGCCTTGGTAAGCCCAGTACCAAAAGTAAGTAACCCAGCAGATACGAACAACGACTTCAGACAAATATCTGTGCTGCCCCATGTTGCAAAATTGTTAGAACGGTTTCAAATGAACTTCAACAAGCACGATCTTACCATCTCAAAMAACCAACATGCATTTACTCAAGAAAGATCCACTGTAACAGCTCTTGCGAGTACAACACAGGACTGGTATAATGCTACAGATACTGGMGTAAAGAATGAAGGTGTACACATCGTGTTTGTGGAYTTCCGRAAAGCCTTCGACCTTGTCGATCACGCCATTCTGCTGACTAAGCTTGCTGACATGGGMGTTAGTMGKAACTTCTGGAGGTGGACACAGAGTTTTCTATCAAACAGAACATTACAAGTAAAGCTACCAGGAGTGACATCCAGAATAGGTCATGTTGTAGCAGGTGTCCCACAAGGCGGTGTACTATCTCCTACACTTTTCAACGTCCATATTAATGACATCGAGGTGGGCATTCAAGRRGATTCACAAATTWCCACGTGCAAATATGCTGATGACTGCACGATRTATCAGCTAGTGCCAGTCGACACAGAAACCCATATGCACCATGCAATGCACCACTTGGAAAGCTGGACCACTGAAAACAAAATGGAACTCAATGCTAAGAAAACAAARGAAATGTGGATMWCTTTTAAGAAATCGGGCAACCAACCACCACCGCTACGTAWAAACAATGTGGAACTGGAGAGAGTCGAGGAATTCAAGTTGCTGGGTGTTATAGTCCAAGACGATCTAAAATGGAACTCCCACATATCTTACATCGTGAGCAAAGCCAGTAAACGTATCCATCTTGTGAGAGAGTGCAGAAAGGCCCACTTACCTGTTGAAGTTGGTCTGACTACCTATACTACCAAGATCCGGACCTTACTTRACTACGCTTGCTCTATCTGGGGTKGTTTACCACAATACCTTGCAATGGAGCTGCAAACAGTGCAGGATCGATGTTTGAGGATTTTGGCCTTACCAAAGGACACTTTAGAACCGCTTGAKAAAAGAAGAGACGAATTCACAAAGAAAGATATCGAACGAATTATTAAAAATAAGAACTTAAACCATTTATTACAACAGTMAACTAAAGTYAATCATAGTTACAGTTTAAGGAGGAAGAACACCCACCAAGTTCACGTTCCTATGTCCAAAACTAAGAGACACAAACAATCTTTCGTTCCCAGGGCGTTGGGACTTTTGAATGGGAACTAATCTGAATTTTACTCTTTTTTACTCTAGCGTATTATATATGTACTTTACTGAATTTTAATTCTATTTTACTCTAACTTTTTAAATATGTATTGAACTTTTTATACCTCTCTTTTTTTTTTCCCTTATACTGTAAATAATCTGTACATATATTTATTTATTATACATATCTTGTAAAAAACACTGTACATATTTTCATAAGGTGTTTTAAATAAAGTTATTATTATTATGGATGAAACTCGAGCCGTGTGAGAGTATTTAATCAAAGAGTCTTTCTTGCGTGCGCTCCACTTCAGATTCAAAGAAGTCGTTTTTCTTGATCCACAAAGCGACTGCTTAATTGGTACTTCTCTGTCGAAATGTGATGTACAGTTCAATCTTTACTTATATCTGCTTTGCGTTTTCTTCTTAATAGCTTCTTAAAGGTACTGATTTTTTAATCTAACAGTCTATTGACATGGCACTTATCGGTGTATATTTGTTGAAATACAACGTAGCTAACACTGATATTGAACTTTAAAGTGCTGCTTGCATGAAAATGGTCTTATTTCAAAACTTCAAGCAATACAAATATATAACTCATTTATGTTTATTAAAAACAATTGCGGGAAAATATTTGTTTTGGAATTGTCCCACATTGCTTCATGATTATTAGACCCATATGGATAGGTCTATTTGATTTCCAAGTCTTTTCTAATATTTCGCAATTTTCGTCCAAGTAGCCCTTTAAAAGAAATAAGAGATACTCCAGTTAAAAAAAGAAGTGCTTTCAAATGGCAGCCCACTCTTGAGTTGCACTCTTTCACTATCGACATATAGTACAATATATACTTTATTAACATGACCTGATTGATTACAGGTATTGTCAAAGTTTACAATATTACATCGATGTATATATATATATATATATATATATATATATAAATAGAATAAATGAAGAAAAAGCCACGCAACTTGTAACTAGGTTTTCTACTTTTTAATGAACGTTTTATAAGCCGTACTGGCATCACCACTTTTTCCAGTTCGCGCTTTGATCAGTCGTACACTTCAGAGCAGAAGAAGGAAAATGAACAAAACGAACGTGCTGGACAAGATTTCCTTTAAATGCACCGATCTCCAAACCTACGTGATCACTATAAAAGGCTACGAACATTATGAAAATATAGTGCTACCAATTCTCATCACTTTGAATGCTATCTCTTGCATTGCGATTGTTGCAAGCAATGCTATTGTTGTTTCCACAATCGTAAAGACAACCTCTCTTCATGCTCCTGCCAACTTCTTCATTCTCGGTTTGGCCATCTCTGATCTGGGCGTTGGCTTAGTTGGCCAACCATCATTTATTGTGCTCTTGTTTTATGAACTGAAGAACGAATTTCTTCGCTACTGTGAGGCTGACTACATTTCAGTTGCTGCGTTCTGGATTTTGGCTTTTGCTTCGCTGTTAACGCTTACAGCTCTGTCTGTAGATCGTTTCTTGGCAGTTCATTTCCATCTCAGGTACAGAGAGTTAGTTTCAACACGACGTGTTTGTGTAGCTCTTGTACTTATTTGGATTTACAGCATTGCTGGTTGGTCGATATACTCATTTATTGAACCCAACTTCATAATTGTGCAAGATGTTGTGGGCTTCATCGCGATAATTATGAACTTCCTCATAATCATTAAGGTGTTCAGATGCGTCAAGCGACATTCTCAACAGATTCAAGTTCAACAGCAAAGTGCACAACAGTCCATGAACGTAACATTGATGAAGAAATCGGTCAATCCGATGTATTACATGTTTGGTGCATTTATCATTTGTTATTTTCCATTATATGTCACTACCATTATCTTTGGGTATACTGACGGAAGCGTCATCGGCTTTATCTCCAGTAAAGTATATAGATCCCTTGTGCTTCTCAACAGTTTGATCAACCCAATGATATATTACTGGCGAATTAAAACACTTCGTATAGCTTCTTCTSGTCTCCTTGCCAAGATCTTTCTCTCCAATAACCAGTAAAGAAAGAAGTTGACTAAGACTGATAAGACTGGATTGGTATTAATTGGTATTAATTTTTTTCAACGACGATAGTGTTTACAGGCAAGTTATTTTATATACGGATTTCTACATCAAAAATAAAAGTTTAGAGTGATGGTTTGATCTTTTTACAATCCTTACGGTTCAAAAACACCTTAAAAATTTATTTCAGATAAGCTATGATTTAGTTTGAGTCCCATTCAGAATTAATTTCTTTCGTTGCTGTTGTTGTTTTTTTTTCTGGACGTTTTTGGACTGTAAAAAGGGGGTGGTTAGCCAACCCTCCCCTCCTTGGATCCGACGTTGATCGAGATGCATATATATAGATTACTTCATGGAAAGCGGGGGTGCGCTCACTCGTTCGATTTCAGATACAAAACCAACGAGTGCGAAAATCTCGCACAAAGCGCGCTTTCCATGCTGTAATTTATTTATTTCATTCATTCTGAGATTTAAGATGGATTTTTTTACTCGAAAAGGGATTACACATTTACAAAGAGTCATTGTATTAAAGCTTTTAAATGCCGCTAAACTTCGACAACAATTCAATTACATAATTCACAGTAATACTTCAATAATATAATGCTTCAATAGTATCTCAATACTTCAGGCAGCCTGACTTCAGGAAAAAGCTTAATAAATATAGGCAATGAGCCGTCTAAGAAGTTTTAAAAGTTGTTTTTTTCAGTAAAGTTTGAAGTTTTCTGAAAGTCAATGTGCTGCTGCTGGAGGACTGTCATCGTCGTCAGATTCAATACGCTTGATGCGTTTAAAGCTTCGTGTTGATGAAAAAGAGCTTTCTGAAGAACTTGGGGACCTATTAAGATTGTTAATTGTAWTATKAAAATGTCCTCCGTGAAATACTGCTCCACCAAATGGACCTGGAATGCACGAAGGCAAACCTGAGATGGAGTTGGACCTTGCCGTAAATGAAGACTCGCTCTCTGATACAGAAKTTGAAGTTGCTTGTAAAGACCKCTGTCTTGTAGATGTGGACTTTGGTTCACTCAGTATCAAAGACATATMTTTTTGCTGTGCTGTTGAAAGGCTACAATAGTTATTGATGCTTTGAACGTTTTTGTGGCCCGATAGTTGCATAATATGGGTCGGAGGGACGTTATTGTCGTTCAATTTCTGAATCATTGTTTTCCTGACGCTGTGATTTTTTAGTCGTCGCTTTTCACCTTTTTCTGCCATAACTTTCATCAAACTATTCAGCTTATTTACTCCGACCGCGCTTGACTTAAACCACGATTTTTCTGATGTTGAAGTGTTCTTTATATGATTCACAGCCAGATAAAAAGGCGCTTCGCCGTCGTTCATCGAGTCGGGTCTTTTCTTGGAGTAAACTTTGTAAACAAAAACTGGATTTCTTTCAGGTGGACCGCCTTGGGAAAAAGCTTTAGGTTTAACTGGTCTTGTATCTCGAGGTTCAGCTCCAGTTCTCGTCTTTGTTTGCCTTTCAGAATATTGCAAATATTATGTGCCGTCTACATCGGTAACGAGTTGAACGTCCCCCCATTTCATTTGACGATGCTCGTCACAACCTCTCAATCCAAAGTGAATACAGTTCATAAACCAGAGTGTGTTAAACAAGGATTCGGCATTTGAAATTCCCAATAAGTTTTTTCGTACAAAGTGTTTACTTCTTCGTCGGTTAGAGCTTCTGCTGCATTCGGCTTGTTCGGCCCTTTGCCATCTTTCTTTAGCTGTTTGCTTCTTGCTTGCAAAGCTTGTCTCACTTGCTCAAATTCTTTATCTTCAATAATGTTGGCTGGATAGTTAAAGGATTTCAAATGTCGATTGAMGCTACAAATAAGGCCTCTTAAACTTGACGGCTCGAAATCTTCACCATCCTTTCTTCTTACAGAAACGATGAATTCACTGATGTAAACATTCAACTCCTCAGGTGATATTTCCTCAACTTTTCTTGACTCGTTTTTACGAAGAAGAAACTCTG